TCTTGGCATGATAGTAGGGTGATGGCTCATGGTCCCTTCAGTAAGTTGCATATTGGACACTAAGACGGCATGTGGCTTACTGCTGGGGTTCAGGCAGCCAGGGGTTACAGAAGAGTTCAGAGTCATTTGGAAGAACAGACTTCCTGTAATGAACGTAAGAGCTCCTGTACGCTGAAGCTCAGTCACGTTTTAAGACTTTTAGTTTGTGTTATAAAGGGATGACTTTCTTGCTTTGTTTTCAGTTAATGAGAATAAATTTGACTCCCTTTCCTAGAGTGGGGTAATTTATGTTGATGTTGGGGGCAGTGCAGGAAGAGAAGGTCAGCTGTGTTTAATACTGGCATTTTTCTCCATGGTCAGGGCTTTCTAATTATAGGCCGGATAAAATGTCAGGCTTCAAAGTCCTTCACGCTAGGAAGGTTCTCTGTTTTCGGTGACGTTAGTGCGCATGCCTGCCATAGATGTATGTATCATACGCATTTTGGTTTTTATTTGAAGGGAACAGTTAGGCAACTGTATTAGCTGATTGCTCTGCTGTTATTTGATAATAAAAACACTGGAGATGAGGAAGAAACTGCTACATCCAGAAGAACATGGCTACTTTTAGAGCAGGGTTCGTAAACCGCTAGTTTCTCTTCTCCCTAAAGTAGTGGTTCAGGGTTACTCTGAACCTTCTCTGTCTCTTCTGCTTTATAACTGACTGTTGGACAACAGGTGAGGATTTTTAGTAGTTGAATGATTGTGCTGTGTATCTGACCTGAAAAATAACTTCAGGGATTTCCTTTTACTGAGGATAAACATAATTGGCCCCAGTGATTAAAAAACAAAACAAAAAAAACAAAAAAGCTACCCATACAGGAAAATATAAATGAGTAGGAGGAGTTCAGTAGCGCTGTGTTGGAGGATTCCTTTCTTCTCCTTCTTCAGAACAAAGCCTCTGCTGTATTTTGTCTCATTTAAGTGAAATTTCTGTGATTTGGTTTTTAGTAAGGCCAAAATTGATCCTGTCTTAACTTCTATGCCAGATGTGCAGTAATGAAATAGTTCAGAAGTATAACACAAGACTGTAGTAAAGCCGTATGAAAAGCTCTTCGTATTTGTTTCCATCCACTGGCATTATGTAGTTTAAAAAAAACTTGTAACATTTTTTTAGAATAATTTTTCTAGTTCTTTTGTTTATATGGTTTGGGAAGTATTGGATCAGCCATTGAAATGGGATGCCTATTACATAAATATTCTAGGGAGCCTTTTTAGGAAGGATAAAGAGAGAAGGCTATTAGGATAATTGAAAAGTGTGATTTCATGTACTTTGCAATAATATAATCTTGATGCTGTTTGAAAGAAAACTTGTGGCAACCTACTACTTTTCCCCCCCGCCTTCAGTTTTCATTAGCAAGAACAATCTTAAGCACTGAAAAACTCTTGAGACGCATAGGTCATGTTAAAGAACGGGTGTAATATTTTCCAAATAAAAACTAGGTCAGTGAAGTGAGACCTGTTTGAGTAATGCTGGGATGAGAGTACTTCTAATCCTGAACTAGTCATGTGCTTACCCTTGACTATTTGGAAGGGAAAAAATTGCTTTTTGGATAAAATCCTCTTTGGCAGGATTTGACCAGATGGAACTTATTCCCGTGGCTGCAGAAGTAACGTGTTTTAAGAACTTCACAACGCTTTTTGGGTTTGTTCTTATTTTCAATGAAATTCCTGAATTTGAAACTTTCTGTGTTGTGAAGAGATGCTTCAGAACAAAGACTGGCTCTTCCCAGCGGAGCCTGCAGTTGAAGAAGACTGAAGCAATGTGCTTTAAGGAGAAGTGTGCGTTTTCTCATATATTTCAGTGAGCACTAAAGGGATGTCTAATTATGGCTAGTTAAAGCCAAAATTGCAAAGTGTTTCACTTTGAAACAAATCATCAGATAATTTGTAGTTGCATGTATGTGGTGTATTCCAAGTTTACTTCCTATGAAAAGTTAAGAATTGGAAGTGAGTGAAGAGGTTTAGGTCTAACTCAGGACTTAAATTTGAGTAGAAGGAGGAGAAATACAAGAAAAGGTCCACCATATATGAATAGTTCTAGGTGTATGTACTAATGGAAAAAAGTGAGGGAGATAAATGCTTCTAATTACTGTTATTTTTTAATTCCAGTTTAAGATAATGTGCAGGTGACATTAAGTCAGTATTTCAGACTAAAAATGCTACATTGCTATTATAATTTTCCTGATACAGAAATGTGTATGCATTTGTACTTTTGCACAGATGTGCGCACACACACAGGCACGGGACTTCTTCTCTTGCCTTTCCCTTGCAGATGTGACACTTAGAAATCTGCGTAGCCTGTGCCATAGCTCCCCACAGTCAGAAGTTCTTTTTCAATCCTAGTATACGCTTTTGCCTTTGGATAAAAAAAAAAACGCCTGTAGATGTTTCCTTCAGCTCTTTGTGCTGTGGCAAATTCAGCTTCTGGGTAAGGTATAGTATTGAAATTGGTTCAAGTGTCACCAAGGCAGCTGCTCTTGACTCAATGGTACCTGTACAAGAGGAGCTGTGTGTGTTTGTACTATGTCTTTTCCTCCATCCTTCCGAGAAGGAGTTTTTCCCCTAGTTTCTATTGAATGTTCCGTGAAAGTAGGACTCTAGCCCTACACTCTCCATCTCACAACGTGTATCTGTGAGATTCCAGCCCCACGCATCTTGAACTGGAAGCTGGCAGTCTCTGCTGCACGCGATAGCAAGATGTACCTGATTTGCAGTGGCTGCGTGTGTGCAAGCGTCTGCTGATCCATGAGACAAGACAGGAAGGCAGAGTTGGGAGATGCTGATACTGCACCCGGCACGGTGCAGATTGGATGCATTTGGTGAGCATATTGCGATTTTGAGAGCTTATTATGTTGCATACCCCTGCCTTTCCTGCTGTCATAGCTGCGTGTGCGCAGATGTGTTTGGTCGGAAGACAGGGATTCCTCCCAGTCGAAATGGGTTGTGTAGCTGCCTTTGTCTTTCTCTTGAACATGTCCCATGTCTTGAGCAGTACCAAGGCGGAGAAGGCAGCCAAGAAAAATGTTTCTCTCTGCAGGGCTGAATTTTTAAGGAAGAGTGCAGGGAGGAGGAAAAATCTTTTTTTCCTGTCATACATGAAAAGGATGATGCCTCACGTTCATTGGCAGTTAAAATTCATTAGGTAACAACCTGGCAGTATTCTTTGCTCCATTTCCCTTTTCCCGGTGTGATCAAGCTATGTGTATCTTCTGACGATCATCACTACCATATTTACCAACTTTTAAATAGTTGGTCCATTTCAGCCAGATATCACGGATTGGTAGGAGTCTTAAAGATAGCTTTGTTCCTCCAACTACTGTGAAAGTGGGCAGCAGAGGCAAGATGCAATGTGGTGTGAGCTCACTTTGAGACAGGAGAGGACCTGGTGGGACAGTGACCCAAGAGGAGGCTTCAGGAAGAATTTCTGTCGTCTTAGGATCCCTGAACTATCAGCCAGAAGCCAAGTGTGTAGTAAACAGGGATCAGTCAGTGTTCAGGGAACTGCTTATTATCCTGTGGGATATAATGCTTTTTCTGCAATATGAGGAGTGTGGCTGTAGGGCTGTGTTATCTTGTGTTATGCTGCAAGTGCAAGGAGTGGTGGGAGGGAAGGTCCGGAAGCCTAGTCTGGACTAGGGACTGGGAGCATTGGGGGTGAGGGGGTCTTTATTTTGATGTGTAACAGAAGAAGCACTGCCCTTTCTAAAAGCGGCCACACCATTCGAAGCTCTTTTCTTGCTACCATCTGTGGCATGATGTGTTGGATCAAATATAGTCTTGAAAGGTGTGCCTGACTGAAACCATGTTCTGGTCTTCACCAAATCCCATTAATATACCAAGTTTGATGGCTACAGTACGCCAGTTGTAGTTCTAGAGCAACTGGTTATCTTTTAATTGTCCTAATATGAACTCTTAATACTGACTGAGAAATTCCAAAGAAATAAGTTATCTGTAGGTTAGGATGAAAGCAATAAGAGTGTACCTTTCTTATTCTTGCACTTCTATTGCATCTGGCTGCTTTTAAACCTAAAGAGCAATACGAGCAGCTTGGGTAAGGTGCAGCCATGTGACCTGCTGGGAGCTGATGCTCTAATGAGAGGATTAGGTGCCTATTTCTGGTTGCCTGCAGCCTGTGATGCTAAGCAGCTGTTGCTGGGAACATGAGAACTGCCAGTCAGTCCTCAGGAACCTCTCCTTTTCCTCTGTCATCTTTGTTCTTTTTCATTCACTTCCTGCATATCACCTCCCTAATTTTTCTGTTCTTGGTATTGGCTCTTGGTATCGGCTTGGAATAGATTTCATAAATTAGGCTACACACAATTTCTATGTGATGTTTTATCTGGGTCAATTAAGAAAAAAATTGAATTTTACAGAATCCTTTTTTTTTTTTTTTTTAAGCGTATCACGTGGAAGTGTAGTTTGAAAGCAGTGAGCTACAAAACGGAAGAATAGTGGTGTCCCAGACGCTGTTTTCAAACTGGCTTATCTCTTGCACTTCCACTGTACAAAGTGTATGTATTGAACTCTGTTGCCTTTAAAGAATGAGGAGGGGGTGATGGAAGAGGAGCCAGTACTGGGATTCTCAGATTGTGGTGCTTGTCATACAGAAGCTACCTCAAAATTGGAGAGGGGGAAAAAATCCAGCCTGCCACCTTGAAGCCAGGGAATGACGACTGCCTCCTGTCTGCAGTTTGGTACAGTGTCTAGAGCTGCTGCTGTTGCTTAGTACAGTTCTCTTTTTATAAAGATGGTGCCTGGGCAAACTGAATTTGACAAATTCCCATTTCAGTAGGTTTTTCATTCTCATAATCTTGAATGCTACAGAAGAACAGATTTCATGACAAAAAAGGGTCTCCTTCTCTTTTGCATTTCATCTTGAGCTTGATGTTTTGTCATCTGCTCAAGGATGATTGTATAAGTTCTGTGTTGCACTTACTTATGTGATAAATCTTTTTTCCCAGATCATTCAACTTCAAGTGGTACATCCTCGTTTAAGCCCAGCCGATCACTGGTTTCTATTCCCACTGCCCATGTGATGCCGTCTAATGCCAGCGCTTCGCTTTCCAAGCACAGGGAAGCTTTCAAGTCTGAAGGCTCAAAATGGAGTACAAGCTTTGTACGGTCGGGAGGAGGCAGAAATCAGGGCGTCCTGGACAGTTCTCTTGACATGAAAGATGCAAGACCTGTAAGAAAATGGTCCTCCTTGTCTAAACTCAGCTCACCAAATACCTGCAGCCAGGATGAAAGTAGTCATTCAGCAGACTCCAGGGCTAGTACAGACAAAGCTATGTCACCACAATTAAGGACAAATGGGCCAAGCTGTTTGCATGATAGCATGGAGTTGCTAAAAATTGAGGACAAAGAAACAGGGAAAAAACGATCTTCCCTACTAGACTGCAAATACAAATTTGAATCATGCAGCAAAGACGACTTTGTTTCAGATTCCTCAAGTAGGAGACATGCCTTAGACTTGACCTACAGTGCCTTACCCGAAAGCAAATCTACGGCAGCCAGCTGTGAAGCTTTTGGACCGAGATATGCAACTCTGGGACAACAGGCTGTGAGTGGAGTTCCCATTCAGCCAGCAGTGAGGACTCAGATGTGGCTTAAAGAACAGTTACGTGCAAATCCCCTGGACTGCAGGAGTGCTGAGGAGTCGTACAGCGTAGCTGCGTGGCACGCGCAGCAGCTTGACGACTTCAGAACAGGCAGTGAACAGCCTGCGCAGGTAAGGCTGAAGCTTGTTATTTGCTGCCATCATGTGGCATCATGTGCTATACCTGAGGAATAACATTAGACAAGTTTTTAATAAAATGGGAAGGGGAGCAGGTCCCCTAAATCAGGTGGTGGTGGTGGTGGTGGTGGTTTTAGACTTTGATTTGGGATACTGTTGTTTATTTCTCGTTATTATTTGAGTACCAACAAAATCTTAAATCTACTTACAGTTTACTCTGAGACAGTGTGCTCATCTGCATGAGACTAGAGTCTCTTTTTCTGAACCTGGGTGCCATAAGAGGTTCATCAGATAAGAGCTATTCAAAATGTTAAGAGAGTCTTTTAGTTGGCAGTGGAGTGGGGGAGATAGGAATGTCTATTTTGATCTGAATGGATTTTCAAAGAGACTTCTTTTCTGTCTGTGTATTCTTTGAAATAAGACCAACTCCTGTATACTAAAAGAATGAATATTCAGTATAGCCATCTACCCAGGACTTAAAAACTGAATTTAGTTTTGAGGTTGATAACTTTTTAAATGAACAAATTAGTATCAGAGTAGTCAACTAGTCTTGTTTATTTAAATAAAATAATACATATCTTTGTCATATTTGAAGTCTTTTCATGCAGAAAACATCAAGCCTGTGTTTTTAAGAGACAGATAAGACTTTCTAATGTGATAATGCACAACCTTTTGTTTCCAATTCTTTTACAATAATGGGAGAAGACAGTTTGTGAAGAAGGTAGGATTTAAAATAAAAATATTCAGGTTTATGTATGTAGGTAAATTTAGTTTACAAAAAAAAAATCTAAATCTAATCCTCAAATTTTCCTGAAAAAAGATTAAAGTTAGGCTAGGATGTTCCCTGAGCAGAGGTATCTAAGCTGCATGTAGTAAAATCTAGCTGTAGGAGTAAAATACCTATTTTGTCCAGCCTGAGGATATAGTAGCTGTGGCTCTTAAATTTTGTTTCTTCTTTCATTTTGTCTGGAAGGAAAGACTGGTAAATTTAGAGGTTCTCAAAAATCCAAGTTTGTTCTTAATGGTGATGGGATTTTTTAATTATTATTATTTTAGCTTAAAAAAAAAAAAAGAAACCAGTTAATTCAGCCAAACTAATATTAGTCCTTAAGGATCTCTCTAAAAACCTGTTATCATTCTAGTTAGCCACCCTTTAAGTTACCCCTATGACGACAGAAGCCCTGTTCTTTTTCTGAGCTTGCTAGAGGTTCAAGAAGTGACTGGGCCAGAGCTGGGGCAGCTTGCGGGCCCTGCACCGCTCAAGTCCTGGCCGAGCCAAAGTGTCAGGCGCTGGCTAACTCTGCAGTTGGTGGTGCTGCTGGGGAGCTCCTGGCAGCTACCGGCATCCCACAGGAGCCGAGAGAGGTTCGGGGAGCTGTCGCACGCTGTGGGTATCCTGGTCCGCTCAGTCATTTGGATCTTCCCGAACAGCTGGAGATGTGCAGCTGGCCCTAAGAGTCATAGCACTGCACGTCAGGCTCACGTGTGGATTTTATTTTTATTTTTGGGATTTAAATACATGCTCAATGTAACCTTTCTTTCCTTCTGTCTCACATTTATGTATATGCGTCTTCATCCTCTGTTATGTACCTTTCCCCTCACTCCTTTTGGAAGGACGGGTGTTTCAGAAGCCCCTGTTTTTACTTAGGTCAAAGCAACTTCCAGGTTCTGTTTTCAATTCTCATAAATGTTGTCTCGCTCCTACTGTGATTCAGTACAGGTGTTCCCTCTATGTATGAAGGCAAAGTTGCATGTTTAAACCCTGCATGTATTCTGGTTGCTGTTCCAAAACCTCTGTTCCTGTTAAAGGTGTGCCGGCACTGCTGCCGAGCTGGGTTTCAGGAACAGAGCCAGCGGGGAGGAAAGGAGGGGGCACAAACCTCATCCATCTCCTTGGCTGAATTCATAAAATGGTGCCATAGCCTTTCAGAGTCTTGGGATAGTAACACATTAGGATAAAGTTTTATTGAAAATTGACTTGCTCCTGCTATTTTTATATTTGTATCCATATTGATAGATCAGTGTTCAGGATCCAGGTTGCCCCTAACTTAGGAAATAATGATCCCATCAGCTGTCAGGGTCAGCCCTCGATCATAAGGGAAGTGCTTGAAGCTGTTACGATGTGTGTTTTCCGTAGGTTTTCCTCTGCTCCCCTGGCTTCCCGGGCTGTTACGAGGTGGGACCACAAGGACTCCGTCAGTGATTTAGGGCGCGTGGGGCAGGAGGGAAGCTCCTGGTCGCTTAACAAGCACTTTCCGTGCTCTGCCTTAGAGTAGTGGTAATGGGCCTTGGTGTGCCATCTGTTAGACTTCCTCAAGTGAGGAGATGTGGTTGTGAAACAGGACGCAGAGAAACCGAAAGTGTGTGTGCAGCTGTCGGGCCTTGGGCTCTGGCAGGCTCCCCTGCTGGCCCTCCCCGTCTGCCCCCTCTCTGCTGAGAGGCTGCCAGGAGGGAGGACAGCGGAGTTGCAGCTGAGATAGAGAAGCGTAAACACAGGAGACTGTTACTTCCTGTCTTAATGCTCTTTATTTTGTATTTTTAGAGTCTCATTGCAGTTGTACTATGCATGAACAGTGTATATGCTTTTGGTAATTGCTATGCCATTATTTCTGAAAAATTAAGATAAGTACAGTCCTAAGCGGAATATATACCGAAGAATATAACCCTAGGAGAGCATGATAAAGTTTTGGAGAAAGTTGATAATTAAAACAAAAAACACCACTCTGGAATTACTACTTTACTTTTCATGTCAGCGGGGATTATTTTTATTCTCTTTACTTTTAACAAGTGAGTACGTGCACTGATGGATATGCAGTGGTTTTTGGAGGAATGAAAAAAATTACCATTTATGATGATTCTGCTTTAAAATCACTATTGCCACAAACAGAAAACAAAACTAACTGCTTTTAACTAAGGGTCTAGAGCAGCTTTGTCAATCTTTAGGGCAGATGGGTAGAGGGAGGGAACATAAAAGGCAACTATCACTAAAGAAGTCAGAACAGACTGCAACATTTTTCCGTGCTGATGTTGAGGCCTGATAGTTCAGGAGCACATAGTATCTGTAGACCATTTTATGTCCTCACAGACCATGGTGAACCATTTATCCTTCATTCATAGCCAACAGTTGAAAAACTACAAATTAGAGTTTATTTTTAGAAAACCAGTCAAGATTTCCATTTAGGTTGACGGTGAAAGAGAACTTACTGCGGCCCTTAAAAGCTGTTCCAAAGGTTGAATGCTCTCAGCAGATCTCTGCTTCCTTTATAGCCTGAATTTGGCCAAATTCAGGCTCTGTCTGTTGTTGTGTTTTTTTTTTTTCTTCTTGTTGTTGGTTTCTTTTAACACTTTGCTTGCTAAATTAAACAGACTTTAAAGTGTCATTTCCATGCAAATTCTGAACAAGTGCCTTTACTGTGCAACATAAGAGACGTCCAGAGTGTTGGCTAGAAGGCTTACAGCTCTCCTGAGGTCCTCTTTTAGGACATGCTCTGTTTTGAACCTGCAGGAATAGATGCTGTGGCTCCACAGACTGCTGTTCTGGAGAAGCTGCATGGTTTATCTGTGGGTGCAGTGTTAGCATGTTTCTGAACTAAATCTCCAAGGAGGATCTAGCCTGTGATTGCTTTGTAACATCATGGAATTGTAAATGAAATTTCTTTTCTCTACTTAACATGTACTGCTTGATGTTTGCCTTGTGAAGGTAAACTTTTTGCCACATGTTTCCAAGAGACAGATTTTAAAAATACTTTAGAGAAAATAACTTCCATGCAGAATTCGTGTTTCACCGTATGTCTAATTGTTTCCTGTGTATAGCTGATTGAAAAATCTTTCAGCAAACATCATCCTAATAGCACTTTTTTGTTGTTTTTTGTTTTTTTTTCTTAGCCCTGAAGTGAAGTGCATGATTGGGCCTATGTTAAGGGGGAAAAAAAAAAGTTATAACCTGACAGGGGTTCCCACTAACTGAACTGGGAAGCATATATAAATCTGGGTATGAAGTCTGTATGTGTTTCTCTAAATGCATATTATTTAAACTTTGATGCTGTTATCCGAATGTACTTTGGTAGATGCTGCATGCTGTTTCAGAAGCAGTGTTTAAAATGAAAGTGTGCCTTTAAAACTGTGGGAGTTAATATATTAAGAAACAAGATTTCAGAAGGTTGCATATTTGTTTATTAGGTCTGTACAGTGTTGTAGGCATCACAAGATGACTCTCTGGATTGTTCTCCCAGAGTATGGGGTCTCTTTGATTTCTTCATAGTGTATTAGCATGTGTCAGAATACAGTAGAGATAAGAGATGGAAATTGCTGAAGTGCATCTTTCCACTTTAACAGGTCTTACCAATTTTTCTCTTTATTTAGAAAAACACTGCCTTTTTGCAGTATGTATATGAAAGCTACCAGAACTTGAATTTTAATCCAGTGAGAAATGTAAATATATTACAATAATCTATATTTCAAAACGGAGAGGAAAACAAATTGTATGCATGCATGCATACCTAAACATTTGTAAACAAATGTTGTAAAATATTAAATAAAAGAAAAAGTTAAACATCCTTCAAATAATATTACCACCACAGACAACTTTGATTTTTCCGCTAGTTTTGAGTTGACATTTTTATAATCCTGACTGATCAGAAAACTGGAAAGGATCAATATCAGCATTTTTCCTGTGCCATGTTTTGATGAAACTATACTTTTCAGCAAAACAAAAGTTTTTAACGTGAAGAACTACCACCTTCAGTTAACAGAATGAACTCACATTCGCTGTGTGCCTCAGTTAAGCTGCTCTATGTTCTGTCTTTTGCTGTGAAATTGGTAGTCTGACAACTGGGATTCATCTCAATCTAGTGAATACCTGGGCTCAGCCTGTAGTAAGGGCTACCTACCACAGGATGGTAAACCGAGCTTGGGCTGAGCTTGATTGCAAAAAAGAGATTTGACCTTTAACAACAAACAGCATTGGTATCCTGGTAACTTAGCCGATTTTATGTGACGCCTCGGGAAAGCTCATGTTTCCGCGTGTTTGGTTTCAGCAGTGTGTTTCAACATTTTTCTTTAAATTCTGTAATTTTCATTGTTGGCTGAGAGAAAGTTGCTAGAGTTGTTTCTGAGGATGGTGGCTGTAGGCCAGTGGCAGAGCTTATTGTAGAGTTTCTTTGTAGGGAATTCTGAATTTGGAAATGTAGAATACTCTTCTTTCTCCTTTTATTGAAAGGGAATGTGATTTTTTTTTCCCCACCCCCACCTTCCCTAGATGTGTTTTAACTGTTTTTAACTATTGGATTATCACTGTTTCCTTAGGTAAGGAAACTCTTGTCTATATAGAAGAGCATACAGAAAATAAGCTTTGTGCAATCTGAGCAGTATATCAGTGAGTAGCCATTTTATTGGGAAAACTACGTGGTCATATTTTTCTTTGGGCTAGAGCAGGCTTTATATCAGTTTCTGTAGTTGTTGGTGTGTTTCATGCCATCTCTTATTTATGTCAAGCACTATCAGAAATCCTTCCACATATGTAACCATACTGTTACAATATATATCCCTTGTATATACACGTACAGATTTTTTTTTAAAAAAAGCAAAATTTTTCCAGATAATCAAAATGAGTGATAAAGTGCTTACAGTGAAGTAGCTGTGCAACTTTTTCTGCTTTAAATGCAAACAGACAGTCGGTACAGAAATTGATATGACTATGCTAACATAAAAAAGCTGTAAATCAGTATTTTGCAGGAGCTACTTGAAGTGCTTATTGCACAGATTTTTGGAGCAGATGAGAGAAAAACTTCTATTTTAGTTATCCATGCGGCCCCATCTGATGTTGTCTAAGATTTGGAGCAGATAATGTGGAGTGCAGCCCTGGTGCCTGTTAGTGGTAGGACAGGCGAACGTCCTGCGGGATAGGACACACACTGTTGTTTTCCCCAGGCATACTGTCTTTTTCTTGTGAAAAGTCTTTTTCTAGATTCAATTTATATGGGTCTTTTCCAGCTCAACCGCACAAGCCACCCCTGTTGTTATCTTTGCTCCCAAATTGCCCCTGGGAAAGAGAGGTGCTGTTTGGCCCCAAAGTAATGCATGTCGTCTACTTCTCGGCACTGTCTTTCTCAGCGTGTCTCAGGTGTGTGGAGCAGCTTGGCTGCCTTCTGGGCAAGTACTTCCAGTAGAAGCGGGCTAATAGTGGGCACCGACCTTCCCAGGGACCGCGGAAAAGTAGCTCATCCCCTAAAGGGTCGTAGATGTGCTGGAGGAAGGTTGTGTCGCGTACCGTGCCGTGGGCACCAGCTATGAACTGGGCGAACTGGGCAGGCAGGTGACCCGTGGTACGTCGCGTGTGGCTTGTGGGTGCCCCCACTGTGCGCTTGGCCTGTGCGTAAGTGGTAAGTCCAAGTTGTCGAGGATGCAGCACACTGCCTGCTCTTGCGCAGGTGAACCTACTGCTCGCGTGGCCGTGGTAGAGGCTTCCTAGGCAGACATATGCTCCTTGTTAGTGGTCGTTCTATTTTTATTACTATTTTTATTTTATTTTTAATTTCTTTCTTTGACAAATTCTTCTTTCGATCCTGCTTCCTAACACTAATGGCTTCTGGCTTTTAAGGTGTTGCTGTGGACCATACGTGTCAAAAAAGGAGTAACTAATAATTTCACGTTCATGTTTGAACTGAACCTGTCCGCATCTTGGCTGCTGCAAGCTGCTGCTGCGGGATATGCTTTTTGAGCTTGCAGCGTCTGTGCTTTTGCTTTCCTCAAGTAATCTGATACTTGCTGTCAACCAAACGTGGATGTTTCCTTCTGCCTTCCTGTTTCATTTTTATGTCATTTCCTGTGAAGGATGCTTTTGGGGGAAACCCCATTTTTAGAATTTGATTTTTGCTGTCCCCATTGCTGAAATTATGTTCCTCGAAGGCTGCAGATCTTTTGTAGCTCGTAAGTACAAAGCAGTCGTAGCAGTGAGAAAACTACAGTAAGTGCTTACACATACTTGGATTTCTTCTTGTACTCAGCAAAGCACTATATGCTTCTTTCAGTCAATGGCAGGTCCATAATTATGTGTAGCTAATTAGGATGGCTTTCTGTTAAAATACATATGGGAACGCTTTCTCCAGCTATCAGATATTTCAGGCTATGCAGCCTTTGCATATTTATGCTTAGATGGTTTGAAGTGTTTAAGTTATCATTGCAAAGGAACCCCTCAAAACAGGCTTTGAGAGGAAAACGGAACGTCACAGAGCTTCACATCAGCTTCACAAGGATAAAGGCCAGCACCAGAACCAAGACAATGAGCAGAAAATTGAGTAGCAAGTTGAGACCTCTGTTGTTAGCAAGATCCATAGCGTGCAGCAGTCTGCCCTCTTGTGCTTGCAGCCAACTCGAGATTGTAGCTTGGGATTGCTGGTTCAATAGTAAGCAATTTGGAAATGCATGAATTTCATGCTGTGTCCTCAGCTGTTTACCTGTTTCAGCTGCCTAAAAAAAAAAATGTAATTTTTTTTTCTCCAAAAAAATCATCTGCATACTCCGATAAGTCTTCTTTTTTCCAAGCAAATATCTTTAACTTCAAACATATATGTATATTTTTTTAATAAAATGATAGTTTTAATTTTACTACTGCACTTCTGAAGACTGGATTAATAGGAAGGACTTGAATTGTATACAGTTTGTCTATATATACAAATATAGCTGCTTTTCAGGTCCATCTGAGTTCTAGTAGTAGGAATATGAGAAATATTATATTTCTATATTATTTTAGAATAAAGAAAATTTACTTTTAAAGGCTCTCTGTAGGTCCAAAAAAAGAAAATTTTTCTTCTTCTGCACCAAATGTACCTCTATTAATAGGAGTGTTTCCTGCCGTTCTAGGGTTTAACATTGTGCAGCGCAGTAGGTAATGTTTTGCCAACATTGCACTGTGTAGGATTTACTGCAGCTTTCCAAATGCCTTATTAAGAATTCAGAGCAAGTTGGCAGACCATGCAGCTTTAGTGCTTTTAATAGCACATATGCAATAGCTTATTTTAATATTAATTACTTAGCAATTGTGGGTTTTGTATTTTTATATATATAACAACAAATAGAACTACTCAGCCCCAACATTGAAACGTAGCCAGAATTTCCTTTTAATAACCAGCTGAGATTTTTAGGGAAGATCACAAGAGGGCAGTGTTTTATAGTTGTATATTTTACACAAGATTAGAACTTTTGGCATTGTTGTTTTGTGTTTAAAACAAAAATTATAAAGCAATCAATTTGACTAAATTGCTTGTCGGATACTAAAATAAATTTATATCTATTTTAAATAGTAAAAAAAAATGGTAATTTGAGTACGGTTTTGAAAAGAATCCTTACAAGTAGGTTGTTCTGTTTTTTCATTCTCTTGATGGGCAGCAGAGGATCACTCGTCTCCTTCCGTCAATGAAACCCACTTGTTTAGTTTTTAAGATTTAGATGAAAGCCAAAAGGACTATATTTAGTGTTAGATAAAGGATGTCTATGTATTGTAGAGGACTTGACAAATATTTTCTAGTTGTATTCTGAGATACACTATTAATGGGCATATGAATACCGGAGTCTGGTTTATAATCTGTAGTATATGCTGACAGATATGAACCAGGATTTAAGACGTACTCTCTAAGTGAGTGTATTACTCTTACCTCAAATTGTGGCAGATTGGATATAGAGGAAGTACATGAGTGTATATGTCTGAGGACATGAGAGAAAGACATGAGAGGAAGGCATGAGCGTATATGTCTGACGCGATTGTCATTTTACATGCATTTGTAGCAAAATTTATGGAAAAGTTCTTTGTGCCTGAAGGCTACACAGACTATTTTGCATGCGTTTTCTGGAAAATGTCGTTTAAGGCTATTTTACACTTGTCTTTCCACTGAATGCTTCAGTTCTGGTAGTAAGGGCAGTCGTTGCAAACCTGATGCAGAAAAGCTAATAAAGAAAGGTAAGTACCTGTGGCCCTTCTAATTGCCTTGCTGACTGATCTTGACGAGAACAAAATTTTTAATTCCGAAATGGATGACTTCTTCACTTAAAGAAAAATGAGTAGTTTTTTCAATATTTGCTGAAGATCTAGGAGAGAAAGCATATTTCTTAAAGCAAACAAAACAACAACAACAACGACAGACATTTTTGTTCCTTATTCAGTTCTTTACCAGTATAGAACTGCCACCGGTCATTTATGCCAGAGTCATGAATTAAGAACTGAATTATGAATTTTATTTTATGGGAAGAACGATACAAGACTGTTGCTTTTTTATTTTCATTATTCATTACCTGGATGTAAGATAAAATTGCAAAAATATGTAGCACGGAGAGGAGTGAAATGGAGAAATGAAAACTTAACCCAAGGCACCTGTTGTGTTTGGAATTTTTATTATGCCGCATAGAAGTAGCGAACTTTTTGCTTATACTTTCCTAAAACGCATCATCATTTATGTGCACTAGTTGAGAATAAGTTAAGTATACATAAATGATTTGCTCATAGCAAAGTGAGCAAATTTACTGTTCAAAACCAAAACAGGATAAGCAGAGCTATAAAGAATCAGAAAGCTTCCTGATGACTAATTCTTTCATGTAACTTATAAGTATATACTACAGTGAACACTTCTTCTAAACTCTGTTGTATTTGAATATCTTATTTAATGCGTTAATATCTTTTCCAACAATTAGCAAAAAATACAGTAGGTGCTAGTTTTAAAGCTCTCATAAGTATACAAAGAAGAATGTGCTATGTACAAAAGGCTTTTTTTTAATCTCTATTTCAGTTGATATTTTGTAGCATGGAGCATGATAGCAGTTTTTATATCAGCAGAACTCTAAGACACCAATGTGACCTTACAGTACATGCGATTTATCTGCATTGTCATAAAATAACAGTAGGGCTTCCAGTTTCTTTATATCTTGGTTTTGTTCTTGCTTACTCTTTTAAAAAAAATAATGACTTTTTTAGGAGTGCTTTGCTGTGACCTCTATATAGAATTGATTCTTGTGGAGGCTATAACCCCAACATATTCTCATAAACGTGCGTATTGGTAATTTACTCTTTAACATTTCTCCTCCTCAGGAAACTTTCAATACTGTAAAAATGTTGTGTATTTTTGGTGGAAGGTTTTTTTGTGTTGTTTTGTTTTTTTGAAACTGCTTCAGAGCAAACTAAAACTGGAAACCCTATCCATACACAAAAATACAAATTTTAAAAAGAGAGGAAAGTAACTTTACATTTTCCTACTACTTTCCACCTAAGTAGTTCCCTGTGTTTTTGCGGATTTTTTTTTCCCCTTCCTTTCTTAAAAAGAAGAATTAATAGGGAAAATGTGCTCACTAAAATCTCCTACTTCTGTGAGAGTAGTCAGAATGCCTGAAATTGAAATTTATATTGACAGTTCTCATCAGCAATATTCATACGTTATCATGAAACGATGAGAGTATGAGTGTTTATGTATTTTTGTGTGTGTGTATATATATATATATATACACATACATATACACTCACATACACATACATAAACCTATTGTCCTCTTGACGTTTTTGGTAACCATATACTAAATAAAGAGTAACAGGCAATTCTTTTCTTTGCTGGCAAGAAATGTAGCTATATTGCTTAGGATAATGGTCTGTTGGTAACTAGTTTCACACAAAAGGGTGAAAGCAGGCAAAAATTCCTATAGTGAAGATAGGGTATGACGATGAGAGAGGATGATGTCAAGTGTCTAGTGTGATCTTCAGTGGTGGATTCAAGATTCAAATATGTTTTATGTTTTGAAGTGCTTGTAATCAGTAATTGTTATGACCCATAATTTTTTCCTGGTGTAAGACTGCCTATATCATCAGTGCTTGCCTTAATGCTCATGTGGTCACTAATTTCCGGCAGCATTTACTGTCTTTTCGGGGATCTGGTTTCTACATTATTTATTTGCCAGTTCGGAAGTGCATCACCACTATACTCATTTGCATTACACCGAGTATAGGTTTTCCAGTGATTTCTTTCCAGCCTGCTGAGTTGTTTACCGTTGTCAACCTCTCTTCACGTCATGTGAAGTCTTAAAGGCAGAGTTCAAGATAAAGATAAATTCAGGAAGTCAAAACAAGTTTATCCATAGGATTGGTTGCATAGAGTCATGTAGAAAGAAGCTATTAAAAATAGATATCCATTTGACCTCTGTATATTGATTTTTGAGCTTTCATTAAATTTGAACATGTTGCAGTTTTTAGGAATTTGGTTTAACACCAGCAACACATGGGAGGTCTGGAAGTTTAGTGCTCAGTCTTGTTACTGAGAAGTGTGGGAATAGAGAACTTCACATATACTGTGGTTTGCAGACTTGAAGAAATTATTCTGCCATGTTCTCTCTCCTATACATAAAGACGTGGACCATTTATTTTAGCAAAATACTTATCTATTCTCTAACGAGGCATTTGCAGTTGAGGGTAGTGGTGTTACTTGTATTTGTATGAGGTAACTTTACTCAAAATAGTGGCCCAAAACTTTTTATTTACCATATCAAATATAAGGAACCTTGAGTGATATTGACAAATAACGAATTTGCTGTGGTGTTAAACTAAGGAAATTTTGCATATATTATAGCAGGCCATGCTGAAGTTGTCTAAAGCCAAATATTAAGAGCATAGAGCACTTCTTCAGTTTATAGTTGTGCCAGGTGTTATGCTAGTTAAGTGGTCGCAGAAAATTAGAACTTTGAAACCCATTTAGTAGTTTCAATTTTTCTGCAAAAACATGGTGACAAATCTTTCCAGGTGTTATTTCGTTCTCTACGGATGTATCTGGTGAAAGCGGAACTATGGAAAACAGTGTAGTTGAATCTGTAAATTTTTTTATTCAGATACCAAGTTGTATATATTTTAGATACCTTAAACAAGGAGTAAAGAAGTTATGTCATATTCTGTTTCTAGGTGAGAAGACTTTGTTTTGCTTTATTCTCAGATTATTTTAAAAATACTCAATTTTTTTGAATAACTTCAGTTGGTAGTGCAAAGATGTAGTGTCTTGAAGTAAGCAGAACAGAAAATTTTCTACAATGTATTCAAATCTGTGTGCATACATCTTCTTTGAGTGAACTTAGGCCTAATTTAAAAACATGTCCAATGACTTAAAAATGTTCAGGGAAACCTATAGTCATTTAGGCTCAAAGAAGTAAAGTTATTGTTTGTGCGTACAATTGATCTGACTAAAACATGAGGAAGCTTACCAACTAGTGAAAAAGCAGTACTTTACAACATTCAGAAAAGGTATCTCTCAACCGAGACAAATAAATTAGGTCATGCACAGCTTTGTAACAATAGGCGCTCAACACTGTTCGGCACAGAAGTGGGTTTTTAATATATATAGTGGGTAGTAAGAGAATGGTGCGGTGGTGGCATACGACTTTAGTCCAAGCGCTAGCCCCTCTCGCAAGAGGATCCTTGCATTGGGAGTTTCTGGTGCTGGTCTCTTCCCTTTGGGGTGACTTTGCTAGAGGACAGTGCGGAGAAGTGCTGGAGCTTCAGAGGAGCATCACAATGATGCAGATCAGCAAGAGGCAAATTAAAATCAGGCAGAAATTCACAAAGAGCTCCTGGAGCCTTTGGCGTGCTTGTGGGTTGACCTCAATAGTTGAGGCTCTCCTCAGAGCAGAGCGGGTTATGTATTGGACCTTCTCCATGGCAGCAAGAAAGCAGAGGGCACAAGTCAGAGGTTTTAGAAGTGCAGGAAAGAAGAGAAGTTGTCAGGAACAGTGCAAAGTGCCTAGTATCTTCTGATTTTGTTTTAGACAATCTTTGTGGAGCTGGGAAAGCAGGAAAGTGAAGAGTTAGAAACAGAGCAGTAAAGTGGTTTTGATCAGTGCAAATGGAGATTGCTTTCAAGTTCTAAAAAGCCTGGAATAATTGTCTTTACAGTGTTTTTAATTTAAAATGAGATTTCCAAAATGTTATTTTTCAAGATTAGGTTTATGTTTGTCCTGAAGGCTACTGAGCACCTGCATCTTAGCAGTGCTGGCCTGTTATAAAATGGAAATTGTGGATTTGTGCATGTCATTGCTTTAGATCCTAATCTTTCTTTCAGAGACTGTGGAAAGGCCATAGCTGCGTGTTGCTTTTGTGTTGTTTATTTGTTCTTCTCTCCCTTACTATTAGTTCAGGCATGCCAGGAAACATGATTAAATGGCTAGAACTACAGACCTTTCTGCCAGGAGGTTTGGGTATTACTACCAGCTGTTACTGACCTGGGCAGATAATCTGACTTTGCAGTACCTTGTTTTGGAAGGGGAGGAAAACAAATCTTGGTGATGCATTCCCAGTCTAAGTAAAAATACTTTACAATGTGTAAGTAAAAGCTATGCATGGCTGATAAAAAGAATTTTAGTATTTAGTATTTTTCTCACCAGATAAAGCAAAATGAGAACTAAACTTGTTGTCCTCTACACATAGGAACATACATTACATGGCTTAGGTTCAAAGGCATTGCGCTGCTATGAGGAACAAAGTAAAACATGTATAGCTTTTGTCCTTTGAGTGTGTTTTATTTGAAGTATGTTTTCCCCCTTTTTAATGACAGATGGAAGCATAGGGTATCAGTCTTAAAACTCCCAATAAACAGTCGGGGTGTAAAACCCTCCCATGTGAGTGCTTCATGGCAAGATGCTGACTTTGATATGCGCTTGCTCAGCTCGTAGCAAAATAGATCTTGCAGCTGCTATCACAATGTGAAAAAATAGTACTTAAGATGATGGCAATGGTACACACATCTCTCAAACTCTGCTCATAAAGCTGTAACTGCTCTTACATGTGATATGAATGTGTATCATGATCATATCTCTGACAGAAGGCCTTTCCTTTTTTTTTCTCCAATTAATGATAGACACGTGTCATCCCTATCTGCTCATGCCACATAAATGAAAATCAGAGCTTAAGGATATCTACCGCACAAGTTCCATGATGATCCTGACTGAATCCAAAATACTTTATATTGTCCATGAATTTCCCTTTAGATGTGGCTAAAATGGAAGAACCATAAAGTGAAACAAAGAGTTTTTCAGACTTTTTTTTTTTTTTTAATTTCTTCATATGAGGCTGCAGAGTCAAATGGTACTGTAAGAGCAGACTACTTGTGGTGCTAGTGTCAGTGGCAGCACTGGCATTCAAAAGAGACTTTTAAAAGAAACCAGATTACACATAGATATTTTAATACCTTTAGGTGGGTTCCTTGTGGTGTCGTCATCTCCTAATGCTGAACTTTATGTTTTTGTTGTGGTGCTTTAAGCTATGGTTTATCTTTAGTGCCAGCAAAACACGCATCAGGAGCTTATTTCCATTGTGAGTATAATTTTTCAGCTGTGTTTGACTTTATGCTGTACCTCCTTTCATCTATTTAAACAGTTAAAGTGCTTGCCAAATATATCCTGTTTAGCTCTTCTCTGGTCCGTGTCTGTCCCAAGTGCAGTAAAAGCAAGACAGACATACAGGAATTCTCAGATAACTTAAGGCACGTTTGTTCCCCTAGCCTAAAAGGGGCTGGGATGCATTAGACAGTTTATCCTCTTCTAGACAAGGCACAGCCGATCAGCCACTAACAGATTTATGCTAGCACAAATAAGCTTGTGTGACTGACGCTGCACAGAGAACAGTATTTCCTGAGAATGACTTCATCACAACTCGCTATGTCACTTTTTTTTTTTTAAATGCAGAGATGTGCCGCCTGTGGTCTTTGGGCTTTGTGGGACCTGTTAAAGCAACGTACCTGGCTTCTTCCCGGCGGCTCTATTTCTTGGGACCCTCAAAAGAATTGGAACAGGATGAGTTTTTACCTGCTCATATGCACTCTTAAGTCCATTTCTGTGTAGACCATTAGATTATCGTGCGCACGCAGAGCACCTATGCTGCTGTTACACTGAGTATGTTTCACTTATATGACTCCAGGAGCAACAATGTAGGGCTTTAAAGTGCTTCCGTGAAAGGCAGTATTAGCTTGTAGGGCATCACATGTATAAAGCCATCACAGATGAAGGAAGACAGTAAGATCTCTCAGGGAGGAAAAAACCACTTCTTCTTCCCTTTGGAATAAGTGAGGGACGTTGCTAGGGGAGCACACAATAGATCAGAATACACTTTCGAGCTGTCGTGTTGGCATTAGCTGTTTGAACATACGTTGCTAGAAGGGTAGTACGAGAGGATTTTACAAAGGCAGGATAGTGTAAATGAGAATATATATCTTTTATGGGTAGAAGAGTGTGGAGAGAAGAGATGAAGAAAGGTCAAAATGGAGTAACTGGTATTCTTTTTTTTTTTTTTTTAAAAAAAAAACAAAAAGTTTGGGTTTAGGAATTTTAAAAATACCTACATGTTGTTTTACCTATTACATCCATGGGAAAAGTTTCCTTGCAAGCAAAGGAAGCAAATTATACATCTGCAATTCCACAAGTCTTTCTTTACAAGGTGTGTGGTTAGTAGTTTCTACTAATAAACACATACCTTGTTTGTTAATCCTCCATGACGCTGTCACGCACCTAAGTGTGCATAAAGAGAAACAGATTCAGTAACACAGCTGCATGTGGATAGCTCGCAAGGTCAAAACGGACAGCCTGCAAAATAACTGCACTAAAATTCTGGCCTATTATTACCACAAATAGAAAGGATTCTCTGCTGGTCACTCCACTGACTGTGGTTTTGGTCAATTTTAAGAGAGAAAAGTGCAGCAAAAGGACAAGCTGTGTTTGGTGGTGGGTTTTTTTTTTTTTTGGAAGTCAAACAGTATTGCGTTCATATGTGATGGGGTCGAGTATTGCAAAAGGAAAACTTGGCTGCGTTGCTATATAGTTGCGTATTCAGTCCAGGATTGCTAATGGATATGGAAGGCTTGTGTTATGCATAGCGCAACGCTGCGGGAAGTGGCCGTATAGCCATAACGCCCTGTGCTGCTGTGTAGGGGATCCCATATAGCCGGTGCTGTAGAATGAGTCACGGATCACAATTATTGCTTCCTTCTTCACTAACATATGACCGTTTCCCTGATTTGTATGAGGCTATTTTTATCTTTGTTTCTTGGTGTCCTTCATAACGAGAGGAGGTATGCAACCAAAGCTGAAAACTGTGGGCCACACTCGTTCCTGGTGTAACTGCATTGACTCCACTGAAGTCACGCAGCATAAATTTGGCTCCCTTGGAAATGCCACAGCAATTTTAGACTCGGCCTGTTTCCTGTCATACGTTTACTAAATGCAGCAGTGATATCAGTGGAATAGAAGAGGTTTGACATACTTAACTTGATTGTATGGGACAGCAACAAATCAAGCTGTAGCCTAGAAAAGGCATTGCTAAAAATTAATATTGTGTAATAGTGTATTTCATAGCTTTTTACAATGAGATGACCCCCAAAATAGTCCAATTTTTATCCATTGAAAATTAGTCTCTCTATGTCCATAAACATAGTGATGCAAAAAGTACTATTGAGTTATGTGATCTTTTATCTAGTAGCTGTTTGAAGCTGATATCTATAAACTACCTGGCATAAAATGTCCTTTCAGATAAGCTATTTCTATTATCTTTTTTAATGTGTGCAGTGTGATACTCCCAGTTAGGGGAAGGCGTGTTCTCTGCACATTCAGAAAAGGAAACTTAATGTTTGGGTATGTAATGCCAGAGCTAAGAAGAAGCCAGTACATAGGACCAAATGCTTTGAGTTAAGTTAGTTGAGTTGAATTTGGACCCTTTGTAACAAGTGCCTGTGGAATATGTGGATCCTGGAGAAGGAGAGGGTGTAAAGGTTTAAAGCTCTCCCTGTGCACTGAGACTCGAGCTGATACGGAGGCAGACTTGTCGTCATCTTCCCTGACAGGGCAGGAAGATTTTGTCCTATGTTAATGCATGCATCTTATTTCAAGTTGCATTGCGTTGTTTTGAACCCTGCTGTAAAACGCCTCCTCGCTGGCAGTATGGAGTCACTTGAACTGAAGCCTGTGAGTCTGTGAAACTGCTCCTTTTTCATGTGAGAGAGACAGGGAGAGGAGGGAGGGAAAGAAAGGAACATGAATTTACTCTGGAGACCTCTGGAGGGTCTTACTGCTGTTCCTCCAGATTAGTTCAGTGAACAGAAGTTTCCATCTGTAGCACGGAAATAGCTTACAAGTTTTGGAGTACAGAATAGATATATGTGGGTTTTTTTTGGTTTTTAAGGAGAGAGAAAAAAATAATATAATCTGGAGGTGATTTGAGTGTTTTTTTTACTTCCGTGGCTGGATGGTTTCCTATTTGCCTACGCTAGGGATGCAGGATTCTGGTTCTTACTCTGCTTTCAGAGTTGTACTGGGTAAGGATCAAGCTGTGCCAGGGAAGAAAGACATTAGCCCATACAGCAGCTTTACTGCAGAGAACGGAAGCTCGATCTTTTTCTGCTAAAAAGAAAGCAGAAAGAGGAAAGTAAGAGCTGGAGGTCAAAGCCAGGCTGGGATGGGCAAAAGCAAGAGTGCAGAGAACAGTGCAGGGAGAGCAGATGGAGGAAGGAATACAGAAAGAGAGAAACAAACAGAAGGAGAGGGGGAGTGCAGAAAAAGACCGAGGAATTGTGCAAAAAGAAGAGTGCAACTGGAGTACATTAAGAGCTAGAGACTGCCTTGTAAGATGTGATGTCCTCAATCGCAGGTAGTGAAAGAGTTTCCTTCGAGTGGTGGGAAACGACGACTCAACCCATAGGTTTGTGGGCAGTGCTAATAAAAGGAGATCTAAACTCGGGTTTATCCTTTCCTTCCCTTTGTTTTAAAGTCTGTCCAGCGTCAATATTTTTCATGGTTTGGGAGGGAATAGGGTAAATAAAGCTCATACTTTCAAATCAACAGTTTAAATTCAGATTTTTTTTTCCCCCCTTTCCCCCCCCCTTCCCTGCAACTGCTACAGAGCCATTCATCTTGGATCCTGAGCAGATGCCTCAGCCTATATATTCATCTGTTTGCCTAATACAAACAAGATGTATAGTACCATACAGTTTTTTGCCAGTTGTTGTTCTGATCTAAAAAGGCAAATCACACCTCTCCTTCAGGGAATGAGCTCCTTCCTCCACTGTATGCACTGAGCACCGAACATCTCGTGGTTTCAAGCTGGGCTGTAGGTTCTAGTGGTTCATACGATATTGCACTTACCCATTTCCTATTAATAAGTAATTTGAACTGCTGAAAAAATTGAAGTGCATCTAACACATCTAAAAGGTGCAAGCGGAAGGGGGATGCTGCGTGTTGGTTTGGTTTTTGGAATTTTTTTCATCTCTTTCAGCAGCTTTCTGCAGTTCATGGGACAACGGAGTGGCACTGATTCAAAGATGAAAATAGTGGATAAACTCAACTTCTGAAAAGTAACTTGGTGCCACTAGAGTCCTCTACAGCCATGTATCAATCTTTAGAAAGCAAAAGCTTCCCAATTCTAAAGTACCTGTAGTTTAGGGAACATAACATTACTTTCCTGTGTGTTTTTTTTTTTTCCTTGTTTTTCCAGTTGGGATACTTTTCTATTGCTAAATCGAGTTATTCTTAAAACAGTTAAAAGGGTGCTCCTTTTCCTGTGTAGGTGTGTCATATATGTTTTAGTTTGCGAGTGGTCTGAAATTCAGTGAAAGTCATCTTTATAATATCTGCTTATGAACCAATCTTGAGTTTCACGTTATACAGTAAAGATGCTATACTCCTGATCTTTCTGTAGAATGAGAAATAAATGCACTTTCTTTAAAGGAAAAGTGATGTATACAGAAACTCTCTCTAAATACTAATAATACAGTAGTCTTAACTGAATGGTGAAGAAGCAGAAAATTGTTATTTGCTGTAAGTTAAATGCAGTGTTTCACATCTGATTCATAACATTTGTCATCCGCAATATAGTATGTGCTTATGTCACCACTGTTGCTGTTATTACTCAGTTGTAGATGTCTGCAAAATGGGATGCTATGAGCGTGAGATTTTTTGATTGTACTTAGCTACTGAGCCACATTGTCATCTACTTTAAATAACTAACTGTATTACAGTGATAGGATTTAGATGGACAGTGAATAGGAATTTCACCTGCTGTAATTATACTTGAATTGTGATAAAGAGCTGCATATAGCACTTTAGTTTCTGTACATGGGCTTGATCTTTGTATATCTATATAGATTGTGTATTTAAAAAAAAGTATATATGCAGTGTATGTGTCATAAGAGATTCTCGACCTGATAAAATAAATCCAGACTCCCCTCTTCGCTTAAAAAATATATTTAATGTAGGTTTAGCTTGAACAAGTCACACTCAGTCTCTTTGTGAAAACTTTCCTCTTGCTTCCAGTAGGCATAGGTCTGAAGGTACTGAGAGGTTTTAAGTACTACTTCTGCCTACTGCAGGCAGCTCCTAGAGATTTTCATTAGAGGTCATTTGGCTTATGAAACCGGGACATCCAGGCAGTTCCAGGAGTTGTCTAGTCCAAGCTGCCGTAAAGATGCTGAGCACAAAAGCAAATACCTGGGTATGTTTTTGCCTGATGCCTTCCCCAATCAGTAATAGTAATAGATGTGTCTGTTCAGTAGTGGGAAAAATATGCCTCAAAAAAAAAAAAATTAAGTTTATCTTTTCTAACACCAGGTCCTTAATTATGGCTAAATCATAAAGTATGTGTTGATAGGGCGTGGGGGGGAATAGTTGTAAGGAGAGCAAGAATAAACTGTTTGTTCTGTGAGCTCCTGATTCAAACCATGTCTTTCTCTAACGTGCAAAGAAATTCATTAGATTCTATACCTACTTATTCACGAATCATACTCCCTTTAAAAATATTTGTATGTATAAATATTAAAATATCCTGTATATGACACATGTTGGTATTTGAGCTGTGTTTTCTACTGTTCACACTCATCTTAAAGCTGGGGTTATATTTTATTGTACAATGTTTAACCACTTCCCATAGCTAGGACTGAATAGATTACTTTTTGCATTAAAGTTCAGTTCATGATGTTACAAATCCTACCTACTTTTTTTTTTTTTAATCTGTTATTGAAAGTGTTCTAGGACAAACATGGCAGTTACAATGACCAGCAGGAGAAAAGAAACCTTTAAAGGATTTCGTTGGAAAAATACTGTATGAATTCTGTAGCTGAAAACAAAACCTGAGTAACATGGTATAATTGAAATTTTACTACTGCTGTAAACCACTTACTTGTTTTAATTGAGAGAGCAAAACTTTTTAGTTTGCGGTATGATGAGGCAGGACCCTTAGTGTTACATAAGCAAAGAGCTTTTCTGAGTGGAAAAAGCTTTCCCTTTGTTGGGCTGTTGACAGGCAGCTTTGGGGAAACACAAGTGTCTCTACAAAACTCTAATGAGGGAATTATTCTCATTGAGTTGTGTATAAAAAATCAGATTACATTTAGAAGGAGGGACAAAGGTCTGAAGGGGAAAAATGATGAAAGCTTCTCACCTTCCGGTGTGATGCTACTTGTATAAAACACTTATCAAGGATAGCAAAAGTATCCTGCTAGATAATTAGAAAAAAAAAATTGAGTTGTCTTTATTGTCTCTTAAATATGTCTCCCACAGCATTATATACTTTGACTTGGAGCTGTAATAATCTCTCAAATTGCATATTTTTTATTTTTAGTGTTTGGAACAGCCTACTAATTTGTATAGAGCAGTTTATTTAGAAAACTACAGCTACGGTACATTGCCGTAAGAATTTAAAAAAAAGAGCGAGACAGAGAGAGAGAGACTGAAAAAAGAGCTTCCTTACCTCTGCTGGTGATTCTTCTCGAGCTACACGGCAGGGTGCTCTGGGCTGTGAGAACTGTCCGTAGTTCGCTGGCAACTTGTCCGAGTATGTCACCAAGTTGTGGGAACAATTGAAGTCGGTTGAAGGGAAAAAATAACAAAAGTTTCAGAGGCAGGACTCCCGATGTCAGTCAGTAGCTCAGAAGTTGTGATTGGTCCCGTTTCTGCCTCTGACACAGGCAGTTGCTCCTCTAAACTTGTGCATAGCAGTAATGTGTTAAACATCAACAACATTTTTCCTTTCGTAAAGGAAACTGTCTACCAGGGAGAATACCTGCGTAGCCAGCGAATGAAAAAAAATTCATGAAGTGGTATGATTCAGTGGGTTAGTGAAAGGAGACGGTTATAAGTATGTATGTGTACACCCCCCCCCCCCCCCCCCCCACCCCACCACTTTTAAACAAAAACTTAAATTGGAATTCCTTCAGGGAGTTGTTTTGGATATGCTACAGTGTTTCGTCAAGAATAAAAAGCTAAAGCTCTGGTATGGGTGATCACTTTTTGTGGGGATTTTTTACTTGGAGAGATGTGTTTTTGTACAAGGGGGTTCTTAAACCACACTTTTAGTGTGTATAGTTTTGGTATTGCTGTCACACGGCTGGCGTTCGGTTTACAGTGTGGTGTGTGTTTTCCCATGTCGTGTTTCCTGTGACCAGGAAATTATTGTTCTATATTTCAAGGCTCTTCCACTCTTTCAAGCTGATATAATGGGTGAGGGAGTTTTCCCCCCCCCTGTAAAATGTGGCTGTGTTTTGTTCTCCTTTCCCCAGACACATCTTCTTTTTGTGGCTGGAAACTGTTCAAGTGGTTTTTTGAGAACCCGCTCTGTGTGTTTGGATAGCAGTAGCAGCTGGGTGCTGCTTCGCAGGTTGTCTTGTGTATCATGCCCTGCGTTGGGAAAGGCCAGCTGTGACCACAGGGCGTATATAGCGCTCTCGTAAGGAGGCTTGTGTTTTCCCTTGCCTGGTCTGCGCGTAGGGAGGTTTCGTGCGTCCAGGAAGAGGAGGATTTTCTGGATGTGAAAGGACTAAACCGTCGAGTGCGTGAGCATCCAGCATCCCGCTTGGTCTGTGGATGCTCCTGACAGCACATGAGTTTTCCTGTCTTGGAAACCGCGGGCAAAAGTACAGAAGCTCAGCCCGCCTCGAAGCGCTTACGGATCTGATTTTGACAATAGCATGGGTTTAGCATGGGTTAGGGCTTGGCTTTGAGCAAGAAACCAAAGACTGCATATGGGGTTGGTGGTTGTTTGTTTTTCTTCGCCATAAGCTATGCTGTGGTAGATGCTGTAAACTAGGGGCGAAAAGTACTGGAAGAGCTCGAGATGTTGTGGTGTAATATTGTCTCAGAACAAGCTGTTTTGATTTTTGTTCCAATACGGTTGAGCCCTTTTACAGAATAGGCTGTAACACAATTGAAGGTAGAAACTCAGTTCTAGTATAATAAATCTGACTGCTTTGTGGTATCTTTTAATATCAAAGCCAGGAAACATAGGCATATATGTTTCAGTTGAAGTTAATTGGGTATCTCCGCCGGGAGGAATGACAGTTCTTTCCTGGTGCAAAGGGCTCCATAATTTGCTTGTAATGGCATTGCTAACATTATACATCTCTGACAGCCAGGCAAACTATTTGGTCTTTTTACGAGGGAAGTCCTGTGTTTTTATCGCAGGCTGTCATCGAGCGAAAGTACTGTAATCATGGTGCTGTTCTCTTTTTATTAGATGTAACATGAAATCTGTGCTGAAAATATTTTACTTTAAATTCACTTCTGTAGTTTCTGTTGTTTAAAGTCTAGCACTCATCACTGCAGTTGCTGTAATGTCAGTTCCCCCTTCTACAAGTCGTAGTACAATGATGATGATATTGAGTTACTCTTTTCAAAATCTTCATCTTTTCCTTTTTGATAGTGAAATGGACTTTATCATCATTCTGGAGCTTTTTAAAAATGAGATACCTTACAATGCTTATTTTGCTGGTGAGATGTTGGCAAATATGGAACTACAGTTATAGCTTTGGGGTTTTTGTTTGTTTGTTTGGGTTTTTTTAGGTGATGCCTAAGTGTGCGAGGTAATGCATTAATAAAAATAATAGTATACCATCCAAAATGGTAAATGCCTTCTGTACATTTCTAACTTCTAAGTACATTTTCTAACTTTCTAAGTAATTTTAGATCGAGTAAGTTTGAAAACATGTTCTGTAAGCAACAGAATAAAATGCTTAAATTCAAACTACAAGAATGTTGTAGCTTTTGTATTGATTTTGTTTCTCTGACAAGAAGCTTGTTTGGGCACCCTTTCCAGAACGTTTTTCTGATTCCGTTCAATATCACTCTCTAGTGTAAACTGAGGGGATTTTGGTGAGGTCCTGAGGCAGTGGCCAAAGTGCTGTGCTCCCCAGGGTCCCAGCACCCGTGGACACCAGAAAAGAAAAGCTTTAACAAAAGAATCTGTGTTGGGAGTTTTGGTCTGCTTTATTTTGTTCTGAGGAGCAAAAATGTGCAGCTGTTGCTTGCCTGACCTTAAATGGAGATGATCTGGGTTTTCTCCAGTGGGATTAGAAATCTGCCACCAGAGCATGTTTCTTCTCATTTATTTAGAGATCCAGTTGATGTTTGGGATAACGTCCAAGAAGAGACGTGTTATGCTTCAGCATACCAGCTCCTTTATTTAAATAATAATAAGACTTTTATGCACGTTGGAAATAACTTCCTAGACTATTTTTACCTTTCATGTGCTAGTTTTTAAAATTGCAGCTGTTGTCATTGGCCACCTGTATAATCTCTGTAAAGATTTGAAGATGTCAGTATCTGGACCGTTAATAATCTGTGACTCTAGATAGAAATGAGCTGAGCCCTAACCTCAAGCCTAGTTATTTTAAAAATGCAAAAGTAAAGGAATTCAGCAGTAAATCAGAGTGCTCAGGTTAGTGCAGTAATTTATAGTGATATTTGGGGTTTCTTCTCAGAGCATGAGTGCACCATGACCATACCACACTGCTGAAGTTGTCATGTTGCACTCACTTGGTTTGGAAGCAACTACAAAATGAAGAGAAGGGAGAAATGGATGCTCCTGCAGATGTGCACTTCTTTGTACATATAGGTGGGACACGATTCCAGATTTTAGTATTGAAAGCTGAAAAGGAGAATGAAATATCTCCTTTTTGTAATGAGTATTTTTCAGGAGTAATTCTGAGATGCTTCCTGAAATAAGTGTAGCTCAGTTATTTGTAGCCATAGAGGCATAAGCAAATGTAGTTTAGGAAACACTATTTGCTAACCTCTGGTAAGGGAAAAGATCCAGCTAATGTATCCTTCAGTTACCTTTGTAGTGCAGGTATAATAGAATTTAAAAGGTGGGGAGGGGATTTCTTTTGCTTCTAAAAATACAGAAAGAAGCAAATCTCCAGCTGGTATAAACAGTCCAGATGCACAGCAGGTAAGGAGATAACCCTGATTAATTTGGAGATAATAACGCTTTTTACTCCTTTGAATTTTCTTGCTTGAATGTGATAAATTTATGACCCAAATCTCTGTGTATTTTGCCAGATGCCTCCTTTAATGCCTGTCTTACTTAACTGATTCTCTCTTAGATCTAGCGTCTCAAATATATTCTAATAGTTGCATGTTTATGGGTCTCAATGTGTTTTTTGGAGGTGTGTGGACAGAGGTACCTTTTGGAAACTTAATTTTCCTGCTTCTATAGTCAGGTTTATGATCTGTGTTCATGTTTATAGGAAGCAGCTCTGCAGAGAAACCTAGTCTTTACATGTCTTGGTACCCTCTTTGGGGTCAGAAAGTGTTTACTTTTCTTAAGCACTGGAGAGTCATTTAGGGTTCTTTAGTCTTCACGTTATGTTCTTCAGTATTAACAAGGCGAACTAACTTTGTGAAACTGCAGCTTGTGAAGGCTGCCATTGCCCAATGATTAAAAATACTCTACAAAATAATTGAATAGAAATATGCAGCTTGGGCTGGAATATTTCTCATTTTGGGAACGCTAAAGGCTCTGGCAAGGTTACTTGTCTGATTTGTTACAAACCAAAGACTTTTTTCAGAAAGGTCAGCTTGAATATTTTCATCTCAGTCGGTATTATTGCTACGAGCTTTTAACCATTAAAGTAGGTCACAGGGCTGAGAAGTGCATGATACCTGTTTATTATCTTTGATGCTTTGACCTAATGCTAGGAGAGAGGTCGAGGAACAAGAAACTTTTCCTGGCTCTTGCTCTGAAACTCCCCAGTGGCTTCGCTCTTCGCTTCCCTTCCTGTCCCCGACAAGGCACATGCATTTCACATGGTTGAAATGCAGTTAGCATAGATTTGACCCATGTAGCTTTTTTATTTTACAATGAAATATTAACAGTGCAAAAATCCACGCCCTTTCAAATACCTGGTTGCTTTTACATCAGTGAACTTTACTTTTTACTAGCTTAATGAAGGTCAAATAATTTAGTAATTTGAATAGTAGCAGATAATGTAGTGCAAAGTGCCCTGATAACAGCAACGTGATACAGAATAGGTAGTTCAATGCGCTAATTTCGGTGGTCTTCACTACACTGGAAGGCTTTTTCTTTTCATAAAATGCTTCGGAGAACTATATTTTGATGTTTCCTAACGTCCTCAACTGGTTAAGCCGAATAATTTGCTTTAGGTGATGTACTGAGATCCTTTTACCTAAGAAACTGTGTTGAGTGTCTTTCAGATAAACTGTTCTAGGAAGCACAGAGATTAGTTGTGCTGTTTGACATGTTATGAGTGATGGATGAACAGAGAGACAAAGGCATATGAAGGAGAGATAAAATTTGAAGACCATGCCCCAGTTGCCAAATGTGGTGGTGCTGGATTATCTCCACTTGAAGAGTAACTGCAGAATGGAGGAGAAATGCTTGGGGTTTGGCGTCGGCTGTTACGTATCTTCAGCTGCAGTTTATCTCTAACAGAAGTACATAATCTTTGCCCAAATAATGAAGTCATTAGCAGCATTTAGACGTTTAAAGGTTGTCTTGTGCAGACTATTGCAACCACTCTCACATCACTTGGAGGCCAGTGGCCTCAACAG